TTTTCTTTGCCTCCAGACGCCATAAGCTCCTTTGGTGTACTGCGTTCACTAAATTTTCTTGTTTTAATTAGCCATGACGTCGTTTAGTTAGAAGCTATCAGACTTTTAGATAAGTCGCTTTGCATCATCCAACTATGGCAGTACATGTACATCGAACGAAATACGGTACCGGTATATGACTGTGCCCATGTGATCATCGCTCAACCAAAATTGTGAAGTTGTTTTTCGTTTGCATGGATTGGTAATTCACACTTGATGTACTAGGTCTGAAACAAAGAAAGTGCCTTTCTAACAGGAAGTCAAGCTGTCTGGATTTGACCGGGAAATTTAACACATGTTCTTAGCTTAGTGCACTTTACAACTTCGATACATTGTGTACAATTTCAGGTTTGGGTGACGCCTAAATTAGAATTCTTTTGTTATGTTTGACCTTTGGGGGACGCCTAAATTAGAGGGACGCCTAAATTAGAGTACATACGGTAGATTACTAAGGAATTAATGTGGATAAAAGCAACAATATAGGAAACAAATCTCAGACTCAGCATGAGCAAGCCTCAATTTGATATGCACTAACAAATGCAGCATTAATCCATGTACAACACAAATGCCAGTCATTCATCCATTTTTCGAGTACATGTAAATATAACAATTACCATAATACAAAACAAACATCAAAACGTACAGTAAACATCTCTCACTCACAAACAGAGTCATCTATACACATCATCCAAGACCAGACAAGCACACAAATATGGAACGTACCCTAGGTGGCGACACTCTACTCTGTTGTACATAAGTCTGAACATTCTCAACTTTCCTGTCAACATTAGATCCTAGTACAGGTACGAGGCGTGGTGTCGTATCGGGGCCTAACTCAGGTGGCGGTGGTAGCTCATCATCGTGATATCGATACTGCAATAAAAAAAAACAACGAGATGTATATCAAACTAAACGCCAAATATTTTACTTTTAAGACAGCAACATGGACAAAACCTGAAACTTAAATTATTAAGGTGGATTAAATAAAAATGTATTGTCTTGAAGACCCTGCGCTTAAAGAATTTATTGAATACAACATTTAGAAAGAAGAGTGAATTCCCATCCCCTATTCATTTTGGTTAATCATGGAGGCTTTCACCAAGCAACGTGTTGAAATACTTACCTTAAATTAAGCAGCAGATACTACAATACTAAATCTAGAAACTTGTACTATACTTACGCAGACAGATAAGGTTTTAACCTTACAGCAAAAGATTTCGCACTTACAAATAGATTTGCCCCTCAATATATAAATACTATTCAAGTGAGCATTGTAACCTGCAGATGGGTTAAACACAAGATCAGCGAGCTACTTCTAGTGCTGGGAGTTCTACAGAGCGATTTACCTGCAAGCCGCAGCACAAGACCACACATCTACATTCCATCGTAGAGCCCTCTTTAATAGTGGACACATCTTGTGCTTGCATTTGTCTAATGAAGTGGAATGCATTACATTAGACCGGCCGTGAGTTATGACAAGATACAACTCAGGGTCAGACTTTCGGAAATACTTTATTTGCATTATATTACATAGCATGCAAAAAAAAACCCTGTATAATAGTGATTACTTAATGACTGTACAGTGTTCGCGCATGTATTATATTTATTTCATTGCGAAGCGTATACATCGCACAGGGTGATGTACAGCAGTATGTAAAACAACTACTCTATCAGTATCAGTATGTACAAGTGTACAACGACAGTGCCTTGGTCAACAGCATTCAAAACAAAATGACCTATGCACTTCTAATTCTACATGTAAAATAACACAACATCAATAATTTAGTTAGTAACTTTTCCAATCAAAATTACACACTATAAATTTTCACTGAGAAATAGCATTGAAATCTGCAACCCAATATGTAAGGTTAAATCAGGTTTGGGTAAAAACGGCAAAGTCATAATTCAGTTTGTCTGGGAAATGATTCTGGACATGTATTTTTGACAACAAGTCATTGTTAATGACACAGTCCCCGTCCAAAATATTGTGATCTGACATATCAATTTGATGCTGATGATGTCATTGAAATTAGATTGAAACCATTAATAGGAGATGGATTTGCAAAAAATTATGATATGGTGCTTTTACACGAGAATTGGACATTCATATTAAATCAAATTACAAAAATAATGTTCGTGTTGATGTAGCTATTGGTATACTGTCTTTGTACAAAATTTAAACAGAAATGTTCATTGCAGGAAAGTAGGCAATGGCATGGGTATCATGAAAAACAAAATGGCTACAAGTCGGCCATATTTGTTCCAATCACGAAACAAATATCACGTGCACCAATATGTATGATCATCATACCAACTTTGATCCATATCGGCCCAGTCATCTCCGAGAAACTGCTGCAGACACGTTTAGGTATCAGAAATAGCAAATTTTACATCCAAAATGGCCGCCAGTTGGCCATTTTTGCTCCGATCAAAAAGTAACTTGACGCGCATATGCAAGACATTATGTATTGTCTTCGCGTAAAGGTTAAATGAAATCCGTCAATGGGTGTCGGAGGATATAGCTCCAGACGTACGTACATATGTACGGAACGAACCCAAATTAATAGTCCCAGTTTTCGGACTTCAAACATGGAATAATCAAAGAAAGCTTAGAAAGAACTCCCGTGTGCTGAGAGTATTGAAGACACATTAAAAATTAATTCAAAATTACTTGTACATGAGATATTGATGGAAAAGCTGCAAACTAATTATGTAAATCAGGTAACTAATATGAACAGAACAAAAAAATTATGAATTATTATGCTAATTAGAGAATTAATATTAATCAAAATTAATCAGGCGTGTCTATTGTCCTAGAGCATTTATGTACCAAATTTTATTCAAACGTGATTACTAGTATCAGTAATTGAGATATCAGTGTTAATTAATTATGTTAATTAGGTGATTAATAAGCATAAATATTTACCAAAAACTAATTGGGTTTCTGCATAGTTCTCTTTAAAGTTTCATTAAAACCCAATTTGTGGTTCTTTATATATCAGTGGAACATTATGCAAATTAGGTAATTAATATCCAATTAAAACTAATCAGGTGTCTGCATAATCCTAGAAGATGTATGTAGCAAGTGTCATTGAAATGTGATGATTACTACTTGATAAATCAAAAGCTGAAAATTAATTAATTATGCAAAGTAGGTAATTAATATATACTGATATTATCCTAAAAACTATCAGGTCTGTGCAGTGTCCTATGACATCTATGTACCAAGTGTCATTGAAATGTGATGACTACTATTTGAAATATCAGAGGCTGAAAATTAATTAATTATGCAAATTAGCTAATTAATATATGCTGATATTATCCTAAAAACTATCAGGTCTGTGCAGTGTCCTATGACATCTATGTACCAAGTTTTATTGAAATGTGATGATTAGTACTTGAGATATCAGTGGAAAAGCCGAAAATTGATTAATCATTATGCAAATTAGGTAATTAATATTGCAGATTTTTACCCAAAACTAATCAAATCTGCGCATTAGTTTGGAGCATCTGTGTGCCAAGTTTCATCAAAATTCAATGAGTGGTTCTTGAGATATCACACACACACACACACACACAAACTGCAAAGACTCCCTTTTTGTGCTTCGCACACGGGAGTCAAAAATGGCTGGCAGTTAAATGACTACGGTGTGCATGTGAATACAGTGTGTATATGAATAGTTATGTTACAAGTTTTTCTATGAAACCAATACGACTGCCAGTAATCTATGTGTATTTTGAATCAAATCAAACTACCAGGTTACATGTAATGTGCATAAATTAACCCACCAGAAGTGATGTCAATACCAAATTTAAATAAAATTGACACAGGGGTAACACGTTCAAATGTTTTTGGTATCAAAAATTGCAACCAGTTGGTCAACGTTCATTGAAATAAAAAGGAAACAGGTATGTCTAAATTTGAATAAAATCTGCCCAGACATGCCTGTTTTTTTTTTTGGAGAATTGCCAATAGTCTGACCAGTCCTTAAGAGAACATGCATCCAATAAGTCTTGCTTTTATCACACAATTTTAACAAAATCAGTGAAAATATATTGTAGAAACTGGTAGAAAACTTGTAAAAATGGCTTCCAGAAAGCCATTTTGAAAAAAACAAAATGTGCACCAGTAACCCAACATCAGTAATGTTTGAAATGGCCGATGACGTTTTGCAGGACAAAATTGATGCTATTCTGTCAAATGCCATGAAAATAATATAAACTCACATATATACCATTATGTCTTGTGTTTGTACCAACTTGGAACAAAATTGGTACAGGTACATCCAAGAAGTTACATCAGATGCACTGACAGGAATTAATTTAACTCAGTTGTTAACTGACCACTTTACAGAATCATCAAGTCATTACCCATGTCAAACCTTTATACAGATTTCAGTATCAAGACAATTGTTTTTATTTATTAGAAGCAAATCTGTACTTTTATTTTTACCCAACACACTTGTGATTTGAGTAAGCTGATGCACTATGATGTAATTAGAGCAATGGTACATATCTGGGTAGGTAATGCCAGCAAAAACAAATCCCTATTACAATACAGACAATTGTATTACAAATGCTGGCATGCCTCTGATACTGAAAATAACAGTGAAATGATGTAATATTTGGCGATACCATAAATGACTCCAGAGATGCTGATTGATGCATGTATTTAATAGGATCATGAAAAGTACATTGCACTTCAATAAGAGCAAGGATATGAGTAAATGTCATGGATTGGTTATCGAGTATAGGACATGCCCAGTTAATTGCTAACCATCAGCTCCCATCAACTATGACCCAAAACTTTCTGGAGTGATTGGCAATAATTAGGATTCTTGCTACCGAGATGGACCTCAATATAGCTCCTGAATTTGAACACAACAGTCATTAAACAAAATTGAGTGAATTATGCAAATCATACAAAGTAAATTGCAGTCATTAAATATTATAATAGTATAATGTTGTGTTTTACAGTATTCTGTGCCAGAACATGCATTGCTTACCGATGAAGTTAAACGAGAAGGATTCTGTTTAGAAACGGCCTCATTGTTGTAGTTCTACCAAAAAGAAACCAGAACTACCGGTATTTGCCATATATATTACTTATCAATTGCAATTATATCTTCAAATCGATGAGTGCAGCTATGAAAAGACAAATAGCCCAAAGGAAACGATTTGTTTGTTCTAATGAACCACTATCTCTAGTTATTCACCAAGTATCGTCAAATCGACCTTTGAAGCAGCGTGCTTTATCACTAAAACCACAACCACACGTAGGATATAGCCTTCATCTCAGCCACTCACCTCCACACTGACCTCCTTTTCCTCCTCCTTTAAGTCTTTCTCACAGATCTGAAACACCTCAAAGCATGCCATAACCGATACAACCAACAAAACTATTCCACAGAAATGAAACTCAGCAAGCTAATTAGAAGCCAAATGAAGCAGCCAATACATCGCTAGAATAATTATTATAGGATTCGTATTCCTCTAGGTCTATGCAGACCAGGGCAAATAATTTATTACACAGATACGATATATAAATAATGTGCGTTATCATTATATTGGTTTATCTCACACTTCTACACACCTTGAGTACTTCACAACCCATGCATGACTAACATAATATTGAAATACTTGTAGGTCCCACCAATCAATTATTTTTAAATTAGTGATATCAACTAGGTGAAGAAAACTTCTCAATCTTGGCAGCTGTGTGATCATGTTGCATTTCTGTTGCCAGTCCCATTGAAAGATGGTACTGGTAATTAACCGATGTCTTTTACTTATCCAGAAAGCAAATTTGGTTTTAACCCAATGCCTTGTTAACTCTGCTGAGTGAATAACTTCCCTACCGTAATATGATGTTG